TTTTTTTCTATCAACTGTATACTAATCAATATTAATATAATTTGATAATTGATACATGGCTTTATAAGTTACATTTATTATTTTATTTACAAGTTACAATCAAAGAGGTAATTTTACAGTATTAACACATTTGCCACATTTAATTCCAAGCTCAGTTCCAGACAAAGTACCATTTTCATATCTGTTAAAATATTCCTTCAATTTCTTATCACAATTCTTGTAGACTTTCCTCCGTTTGACTGTTTGCGTGAAAGATTCTGTATAACGTGTATGATTATAATCATTTTCTTCTTTTAATGCTTCGATAAACTCATAAATATGTGGGTAGACACCAAAATGCTGTTTTAATCGATTATGAAAACCTTCGACAAGATTATTTGTTCTCGGCTGATCAGTAATAATTAAATCATGAACATTCCAAATAATGATGGAAATATAGCGTCATCATCAACATATATATCTGTTAAATAATCATTGAATGTTGTGGCTGTTGGATCATGTGGTGTATATTCTGACATAATATTAGCCCATGTTTCACCAACAATATTTAATGGTATCAGTGCTAAGCCAATTGCACCATGAAACCGGGACGAAACAAGTGTGGGACGAAATGAGACGGGACGAAGCGAGAGCTGATTAACAAATATGAGACGAAACGAGAGTAATCCGTTTTTTATCACCTTTCTATTTTCCATTTTAAAAGTAAAACCTTTCAAGCATGAAACTTGACAGAAAAGACCTTCAGATTTTCAAAAAATAAGATCTTTCAAAAATTGACAAAAAGGTCTTCATCTTTTCAGTAACATACTGCACTTGCCTGAAAGTAACATATTTCGCTTACAGGATTACCATCATCTTTGGATTTGAACATACAGTAAGGCTGACCTGTTACACACTGTTGGTTACTCCGCATCTGCAATATCAATCACCCCCAGTCCCACCCTCACAGAAATAGACATTTAGAAAGGCTGGACAGAGCTCTTCGCTAATCCCCATAAATTGAGCAAAGGTTAAAATACATTAAAAATTATTCGCTAGAAAGTGTCTCACTAGTTACCAACTATTAAGATGTTACTTGCTCTGGAATTTCGTATTTTAAATGAAGAAAGTATTCTTCGATACAATTAATATTGAGGTGTGCGGGCGTGAATTACTCGAAAGCAGAAAATCTTTGGTTCTTATTTTACTCAATATATTTTACTCAGCAGCGAAGCCTATGGGGCTATCCTCAAACAGAAATAAACCATTTCTGACTACCACCAAGAAATGAGAACCATTTTAATAATTAAAACAAAAGAAATACTTGATGTAATAATAATAATTTGTGATTCAAAAGAAATGC